TCCAAGGGACTGGGGAGAGACCAGCCCTAAACATACCTGCTTTGAATCAATGCTGGGTTTTCACATTTACAGCCAGATTTAGATCCCTAGCTCTTGGATATGTGCTGTATCAGCCACAGTTATTAACAAGTTCCTTGCTGCTTCCCAGGGAAGGGAGATGGGAATCCTTGCCTTGTCAAATAGCCAACACCTGGCTCTGGTTGAGCAGGTGGCTCCACTCCTACCTGATGTTAACACCCACCTGAAGCATGCAATGCAGCAGTCTGTCAGGGAGGTTGAGACGTTGGTGCTGCAGCTGGTTTCAAGCTGGCTTTTGACTTGCTGGATTTCCTTTGTCAGCAGCTGCCTGAATGTTTTCTGCTGCACTTTTCAGTGGCCTGCAGCTGTACTGAAATGATCCAGGATACAGTCCTGTTCGATTAAACATAATGCCAGTGACAAAGGGGCATTTCTTTCAAAGTGAGCCATTCTCAGTGGGTAGCAGTGGAGATTCCAGCCATAAAAAGCAAGAACTGCATTTTGCTTCACCAAGCAAGGGGAGCTGCCTGTGAAGCAAATCTGAATGAAAGGGCTTGCAACCTGGCCAACTTGCTGAAAGGGATGAGCGGCAGAAATTAAAGGGCTGGTCTGCACATAGAGATGACACTGATTTAACTATGCAAGGGCAATTTCTGACCAGAACCAGCTTAAGAAAGGCCCTTACTAGCTCTGCAAAGCTGAGCCCCAGAATTGGTAAGAATTCCAGGTGGGTTTCATTGTAGCCAGGGTATACGGAAGATGGCTGGCTCAAGGACATCTGTGTTCAAAATACTCTATATAGGAATTTAGCCAGTTCAAACACTGTGTTTATAATGGGGCCAAGCAACTGATTCTTAAGGGGAGGTAAAGAAACAAAAACCTTAAGGCAAGTCTGGACAGAGGGATGAGAGCAATCAATGTTTTAAAACACTACAATATTGGGAAGCTCTGCTTGAGAAACTGTTTCAGTCCAAATACCACATCTAACATGGTGGAGGAAAAGAAAGAGACCATTTCTTCTTTGTCATCCTACGAACAGGACTGTTTAGGTTCCAGGATTTCTATTGCTGGCCTTGCCACACAAACATCACAGCCACATGCTAACAGCTGTCACAAGCACCAGAAAATTAAAATAGATAAAACAAGAGGGAGAATAGCCAGTTTTAATGTCAACCTCCCAGCTGCATGAGGTCTGATAAGGAAGCTAATAAGCTATCTATGGCAATGGACACCTATGTTTGGAGCCATTTCAAAAAGGGAACTTTCAGAAGGACAGCACCTGTTATATTCTAGTCGTTCAAATGTAGCAAAACCTCTCTAGTTTCAACACTGCTTCACCCAGAGTTAAAAACTGGAGCAATTTTACAACATTTGCATCCTACCCAGCGTGTCCACACAGTAACAGAACATAACATTTGCTTCCCTTTTGGAAGTGCTCTAAATGTATGTGTGTCTATACCTTATGTGAACCTGGGGAAACATAGGCAAGATTATTTCTGTTCTTGGGAGTTTTTCCTGAACTGTTTCTTACTCTGCAATATAAAGTCATTCTGTTTGGGAATTTAATTCCCTAAAGGACATTAACTCTGCAACACAATAATGGTGCCTGTCGGGACAGAGAGCATGCTCCTCAGATTTTCTTTCAATCTAAATGATGAAAATGATCATTTGATGCACAAGGATTAGCAGTCTCAAAACAAGTAGGCAAGACTGATTTCTGTTCTTCCCAACACACTTTTTTTTGTTTTGTTTTTTAAATCTTAGTTCCTCTTATTCCTTTAGTGCAGAAATTTGTACCTTGCTGATGAAGCTTGCTTGATCTATTTGTAACCACATAATCAGACGCAGGATTGCTAATCCCAAGGGCGGATGAGATGGTCTTGAGGGTCACGAGCACTGCATTTTATTACACTGGGCAAGAAAGCGGCTACTGTAAAAGAAGTCATCTCAGGCAAAGTGTTTACTTGAGCGTATGCACAAGGTAGAGTTCAAAATTTCAGTCTACTGCCAAACAAATTCCCTCTTGCACTGCCTAAAAAAAAAAAAATCACTTGTGACACCTCTAAAGAGGAGCTGATTAGTAAAGATATAGACACCAAGATAAACTTTTTTTTTTTATTCTGCAAAGCAATATGCACATCTTACAAACACAAAAATTAATCTAGGAGAGAAATGTAATTTCCAAATCAGCTATTAACCATCATGCAACAAGACAAGTGAAATGTAAAAAGACAAAACAAAAAACCAAACCAAAAAAAACAAAACAAAACAAAAACCTGAAAAAATAGCCATCTTAACCCTACATCACCTGCAGAGAAGGGTAAAAAAACAAAAACCACAACAAAAAACAAAACCCCCCAGAAAACAAAACAAAACAAAAAACAAAAAAAAAAAATCAAGGCTCAGATTTTTCTATGTAATGCCAAAGAAAAATGCAACAGAAATGGCAGGTTTCTAACAAGAAAACACTTACAAATAGAATCAAAACTGATTCAAGTCATAGTTAAAAAGAAAAAGAAAACAAAACAAAACAAAGGAAAGATCAATATGATCCGAACAACCACTTTAATAAGAAGTTTTTACCCTTCTGTTTGGCTGCATTTAACTTTTGTACATTGTGCCTCAGTACAAGCCATTATTTCCAAGTATTACAGTCTTGGCTTGCTGGGTCTTCCTTCCCCCCTCCCCTCCCTTATACTGCAATACCTAGGTACCAAGAGGTAAGGTAAGCCTGAAAAAAAAAAATACATACCCCCTTAACACTCCTCCCCTTGGATGGGTAGGTCACAGTCGGAGCTTTGATGTTTATCTCAATCCAGCTGTTGCTGGGTTTGACTGTAGGTAAGTTTTAAAGCAGGCAGATTCTCTAATTACTGAATATAATCTCCATTAAAAACTTAGTTCTCCAAGGAGTCAAATTGTACTTTCAAGTCTGGTTATTTCTTTTTGGGGCTTTTAGGGTTTTCACTGCAGTTTGCCAAAATACATCTTGCTTTTAAACATGATAACCAATGTGTGCTGTGGACGAGTTTGGTTCTTACAAGCACTGACCAACACACTTGCTTTCCTCTCCCCAACTCATCAGTTCTCAATCACTTCCGAGTGGATCTCAAAGACGAGGACAAAGCAAACAGCTAGGAATGCAGAAGTTAGGAGCAGTCTAAATGCTCTTCACTTTAAGCCTTCTAGCTACGTTTAAGTTTACTTCTTCGGTTTGGTAACGTTTGACTACTCAATAGCAGCGTAAGCTAAGAATGGAAGCCTTATTTATTGCCTGGACTCCAAACTCAATGGCTGTCTCTAAAGCTCAAATCTTACCATCTCTGGGGGAAAAAAAAAAAATTTTGTGAAGTGACCAATACACCGTATAAGCAAATGAAACGGTGTAAAGGAACCATTTCCCTGAAGAAAAGTCAGATTATTTAAACTTGAAACATTTGGAAAATGCACACAAATTAGTACAGCTCTCCAAAATAGTAAGGACCTCTCTGTGATGGGCTACAGAACGCTATAGTGCCCTTTTTGATGTGGGCTTATTGTTTCACATATCACACACCGCAGAGCTAAACGTAGCGAAGGAAAAAATAGATGCACTTGTTTACAAAGCTATAATGATGGTACCCGACAGGAAAGAGGAAAGATGGCATGAAGGGCTGTTAAGGCAACCAGTGAGATTTTAAAAGCAGTGGTGGAAGGTTCCATAGGAAAACCCCTGACTCGTGAGAATTAGAGAAGTTACTGGTGGATTGCTTGGAGAGAGACTGCAGAAGACAGCAATGGAAAATAAAGGTTCAGAATAAAAAGCACTCCAAGAAATAAGAACTACGTGGATTCCAGAATGGACACAGACCAATGTTGAGTCTATAAGCAAGGTTTCCTTCAGCTTATTCACCACAGGATTAGCCCACCAATCGTCAGCTTTGCCTCACCTGACAGCATTATATAAAATTGGACAAAGTGAATAAAACATTGTCATTTTCAGCTGCCCTCAAGAGATGGATGGATGGGAGGTCCCAAAATGAAGTATTACAATGGTCTTCAAGGTCTTGTGCATTTCTCTTCCCTTTCTTATTTATACTTGTCCCCAGTTGCATGGAGCCCTAACTGATTACTAAAAGGCATTTTTTTTTTTTTTTTTTAAACTTCACTTTCTAGAGACTGTCTAGAAAGCTACTGTGCAAAGAAGTTCCTGGTTCAGAGGCTGTGCAAAGGAAGCTAAGTGAAATGCTTTCTATACAACCCCTCTGCTAATCAATGCTCTAACATTCAACTGGGCATGTGAGAAATGAAACTGAGCATTTTTCAATATTAAAAAAAAAAAAAAATGGGACTTGGCTCCATTTAAATTTCTTAGGATGGATAAAAGCACAAGTTTGTCCTACCTACTGTTGTATTAAAGTGTGAATACGCATTTCTTTTTCAAAAGATCTAAAACTGTGTATATCTTTCTTACAAGCCAGGCGCAAATGGATAAAAAGAAAAAAGGTAGAAGCCACACCTACACATTAAACATGTTGTCAATCAGTGGCTTTGAAAATGCAGTATTATATCAAAGGTGCATACTTGTTTCAAACACACTGTACATATCATTGGGCAAAAACAGAGATGATGGGAGGTTGGGTGTTTTTTTTTTTTGTTTTTCTTTTTTGAGACATTTGCAAAGGCATCTTACCCTGCCCAGATGCAGCTAGACAAAAATATCTTGCTCTGACTATATGTAGCCATATCACTAAACATATCTACACAAACATTCGGCTATGTCCACAGGTAAAGATTGAAAGATTCTGGCCGCACTACAATGCGGAACAAGTGCATCATCCGACCTGTTCTGAATATACTTTTATAAATATGTACAAATCAATTACAGGCACTTGAAATGTCTTTGGTTGGAATAAACCAACATTGCAAGATAATGTATTCACAGAGTGTTAAGACCCATTCTGGGTTCAGC